GAATTTCCAAACTCAATTTAAATCGCGCCGCCTCGTTAACTTCTCTTTCCATTTTTGCTTTAAGTTCAATTTTCGTCCAATTTGCGCTTGGCTCTCACTTGTACCTGTGTGTGTATGTGTGTGTGGAAAACCACATTTCCATGAAAGAGTTTTATTTTTAGTCATTGGCTTATTTTTAATTAAATATCGATTTTCTTCTAAAATTGCTCTACATGGATTTCCTTTTACTGTGTCAGAATGTTTTACTGTTGTATGAGAATTCTGCTTATGATAACTAAAAGTAAAATAGTTTATAAATAAAAAACATGTAGAAGATATATAAATTAATATGTAGTTAATTTTGTCGCCTATACTTTATTTCATCAGAAATAAAAGCTTATTGGTTTTCACATTTTTGGCATATTGTCAATGCATTGTTAGCAAAGTATCTCGCAGTCGGTAGCGCCCGTCTGCAATGCTCTCACTTGTTGCAAATATATTTGGGGGTTTTTCTTGTTTTATTAAACGGAAGTTCACTTATTTCTTTATGTTACTGAACGGAAGTTTTATTTATTTCCGACTTGGAGAGCTACATACATATACAATATTTTGTATTATATATAGTATTTAAGTATATAATAAAACAGAGAGTTTGTTTTTAAATATTGCGCTTTTGATATAAAATGAATATATGATAATTAAAAAATCAAGTATGTTCATAAAAAAAAAAAACACAAATTAATTTATTGATCGTCTTGTTCAATGGAGATCTAACATTTGTAATTAATTTCTTTTAATTAAATGCTAAATTTATGTGAATTTATTAAAATATTATAGCTTAGATAAACAGTTAGTTGGCTCTGTGTGTGCGAGTGGGAGGGGTTTGTTTTGTTGTTCCCTTCGTTTAGCAGCCGAAACCGGTCAACGGTAGTCGAGCCAGCTGTGCCATTGTCCCGAATCCAACTGGGGGCCTTTTCCTAGCATTTAATTCATAAAACGAACGCTAAGCAAATTAAGAACAAAGCTACAGGAAAGAAGTGCAAACAAAGTGAGGCAAAGAGAGACAGAGAGAGAGAGGGCAAGAACTCGAACTCGTTTGTGAAGAGCTAAAAAATAAATAAGAAGTAAAGTGAAGTGAAGCGAACGACCCGAAAATACTGTGAATACTCAACTGTTGTGGAGCTTGCTGCGAAGTTCGCTGCGACGATCGATCGATGGATTGGTTTGAACCAGTTTTCGCTGCAGGATATTAAGCCATAAAACCAGGCAGGCCGCAGCCGACCGACCAACCAACCAACCAACCAAGCAAGCAAGCAGGCAACCAACACATCAGCGACAAAGAGGCACAAAACTGGTTTCTCTTTGCAGTTTGAGTTTGAGGTTCGATTCGATTTAGTCCATTGCCTTCCCACTACCCACTTCAGCAGCCCACATTACGCCCCTCGCCCTCCACACACACACACGCAGAGCAACAGCGATTTGCAGAAAGTTGGCTGTTACAGCCCTGGGCTTAATTGTTATCGGCGGTTTATACTCTTTTTTCCTTAACAGTAGTGCTTAACGGTACAATTATCGATGTTTTGGATTTTATATAGTTCTATGTGTGCATGTGTGTGTGAGTACAGATATGACTGTAAACTGATACCGAATCAAGAAATTGATTTATAATTAAATATACATAGATACATAGTCTTAAAACTAAAAAATGAGCAAATTGATTAAGAATAATTATATACATACATTTATAGAGAGATATTCAAATGTATTTAAAGTTATGACAATTTACGAAACAAGTTTTTAATGCAGAGATATATGAAGATTTATAAAGAATTTATATTATTTTATGATAAATCTCTACATGTTAAAAATGTATATACGTAGAATTTAATTTTCAAAGAATTAAATTAATTAATTAAAGAAATTAATTAATTAAAGAATTAAATTAATTAAAAAGAAGTAAAAAGAATTTAAAATATTTGTGGAATAATAGAAATTATTAACATAAATTTGTATTATATAGTAGAAGTATTCTCCAATTTTTGTTAAAATAAAATATATTTCTTTCATCTATCGTCTGTTTCTCGTGTAGAGGGATTTAATGTTTACTCAAAGCAATTCTAATATTTCTGCTCATGGCGCGATAGTTTTTCTTGTCATTTGTTTGCAATGAGATAAATTAATTATGTGTAGTCTCAACTTGTGCATTGATATATATCAATAGAGCCTTGACATTTTGCTCGGGGGGTAACTCAAGATAAACGACACTTGCCGAAGGAAACTGCGTCAACCTTAGTCAGCCATAGCATTCGGTTTCCCTTGAGATGCCCATTGCCGCCGTGACTCGGTGCGTTGCACGATGTGGCAGATGTTGCAATCATTTGAATGATTGACCTGACATTGAACTAGATTTGCAACAGCAGATTTTCCACGCCATGCCACGCCCAAAGACGCTAAGCGCACTGTGAATGCTAAGCAAGCAGCGCAGCATAAAAGGCTTTTGTCTTAATCAAATACACATATATATATGTATATATATATATGTGTGTGTATGCATGTGTATGTGTGTGCATGCATGTAATTCATTGTGCCCATAATATTGCTGAAAGCCCAGCTGACGCGCTCAACGAATGAGTCACCCAAATTGGTTCCGCGCGGTCGGCCACATTATATGGCCAAAGGGGGGAGGAGTTGGAGTCGTCGTAGTCGCGTATCTACGATTGGCTGCGGGTTGTCTGTGGCCGTCTCTGTGGCTCGCTTTGTTGTGGTTATTTCGAAATGCAAGCGAAAACTTTTGTGTCATTGTCCTTTGCCACGCCAAGCAAGTTTTAAAGATACTCTCTCTTGTTGGCTAGGAGTCCTCAGCATTCCTCAATTGGTTGGGTTAAATAAATAAGATGTTTATAATAATTTTATTATTTTGCATTTAAATAACACTCGTAATGTCAATACAAATGTGGAGGCATTTCATTTCGGCTAGCTATGCGGCTTACAAAAGATTTTATGTAAAAGAAAATCTGGGAAATAAGAGTAGAATGTATGCAGGAAAACCTGCAGCACCCATAAAGTATATATATTCTTGATTTAGATGATGAACTGAGTCGATATAGCCATGTCTTTCTGCCTGTCCTTCTGTATGCACGCCGACATCTCATAATCTACTTATATAAGTTGGAATTTTAAAATATATATAATTTATAAATAATATAATAATAAATAATAATATTTTAAAAATAATACAAATTCCTCTTTAAATACAATTTAAATGCTATCACAGCTGAAAATTTCAGTTTTACTGTAGTGTAGATCCATTTAATCAATACAATTATAACAAGTAAGAAAGCTCTAGTCGAGACTGCTCGACTACGAGATCCCCTGAACCCTTGGAGCAATAGATATTTCAATACTTTTTCGCGACTTTCAGCTTACACAAGAAACACGCACACACACACACACGTACGCAAACACAGGCATACATACACACACACGCATACAGACACACATACACACACACACGCATACATACACAAACGCATACACACACACATACACACACACATACACAAACACATACACACACAAGCAACCACGCATAAACACGCATGGGCTGCAGTGTGCGCTTACTATGAGAACTTAATTGTTTAATAACTTTTTTTATGGACGTACGATCTTCATGAAACTTTTAGATTATGATTATAATATGAATATGCATGTAATTGCCAAAGCACAAGTCTCTAGTATTTGAAATACGCTTTTTACAAAAGTGAGGGTGAGGGGGAGAATTTAGAGGTGGGGGGGTAAATTTTAACAAAAACCGAAATTGTATAAATTGCATATAGGCATACATTAAAAATTTGGAGTCTCTAGCAATAAAGGTGTAGAAGATATAATTTTATAACTGGGTTTCGATAAGGTTTTTTATCGATAAAAAAGATCGAGATGAGTTATCGATTTTTAATGATAAACTTGATATGCGCGCTGTAATTACGGACATTTTAAAAAAAATTTGAAGTCTCTAGCTCTTATATCTTCTGAAATCGACGCGTTCATACATACGGACAGACGGACAGACGGACAGACGGACAGACAGACGGACAGGGCCAAATCAACTCAGCTCGTCACCCTGATCAAGAATATATATACTTTGTGGGGTCTGCCACGCCTCCTTCTCCTTGTTACATACATTTCAACAAAACCATTATACCCTGATTTCCCATTGAAAATGGGTTCAGGGTATAAAAATATCTGATTACTTGTATTCAAATTCTTTTAGTTTCTGACAGTCTATGCTAATCGAGTTAGTTAGGGTATTTGTTGAGTTGCTAGGGTATTTCACATTCGATCATTACTAGCCGCAGCAGCGTTTCGACCAACTTGTTCTTTAATTGTTGTGCGCCGCGATATAAGTTGGGCACATTTTGGATACGTAGTCGGCCATAATAGAATTTTAAATGATCTGAATACACAGCTTTTCGAGATCTCAAAGCTGTTTAAGGAAACTAGTTGGCATTTCTGAAAACACCCCCACCGAACAAAAAAAAAAAAAAAGGAAAAAACTATCAATAAATTAAAAAAAAAATATATATTTATAAAAAATATACGTTGCTTTGCTTTTGTCGTCTCTCAAAATTGAATGTATCGTACACAAAAAAAAAACAAGTACGTACATTACAATTCAAACACAACAAATCATCAGCCGAAAGAGCGCCAGTTACTCGCGAGAAACGCGGCTGTGTTTTCTATATATTCAACTCATTGTTTACGTTCGTTCGATTAGATAATAGTTTTGTTAATTATTGTATTTCGTTTGGTGTGACTTGGAGATAATGGCGCCCAAGTTGATTGAAAAATTTAAAACCTATCTCAGGTTGTTGCAAGCACAAACACATACATCAAATACACACACACGCATACACAAACACCCACACATACCAGTAATTTATATATTAATATATATCTAATCAATGTCTTCTCTCTTTTTCTCTCTCTCTCTCTCTCTCTCTTTCCCTCTCTTATCTTTGCAGTGGCGGCGGTCCACAGACAACAACTGCCGGTCCATCCGCTGGTAATGTAGCAAATGCTACCATTGCCGGTGGAAAGAGCACAAGCAATAACATGTATTCCACCCGCCAATCTGTAAGCACCACAACCGGTGTGCTCATGGTCGGACCAAATTTTCGTGTCGGTAAAAAAATTGGCTGTGGTAACTTTGGCGAATTGCGTTTAGGTAAGTTCATTCATTCAATTCTATAAATCGTAAGCTGCTAAATTTGTAATGCGAATGGGGAACATGAAAGCTATGCAAGGGAGGTGGGGAGGGGACACATTGGAAAGCTCGCAAATGTATTGAAATTTAGTTGCAGCAGTTCTGATGCCGCATATAAGCAATATTCGGACTGTGAGTGAAGTTTCCGAAACTCTAGGGTCTTTAGTTTATAGCTTTACGAATCAAAAATAATTGTATGAATATTGGAGATATCCTATTCTAGATAGATATAATCTTTGGAATTGTTTGGATTAATGATTAGGAATTAAATGATGTCATGAGTAATGTGTGTGTCTTAGACTGATAAATTTCTGAGTGGGGAATCCTAGTTAATGATTTAATGCATATCGAGCCAGTTGAACTAGTTAATTGGTTTATTGAAGCGGATTCGTTTTATGGAACAATTAATAACTCTTTAGCTTCAGATATTGTGTGAAAGAGAAAAGAAGAAGAAATTGAACTGAATTTCTCACATCTGCAAAGGAAAATCGTTCGTCTCATTGACTCTTCTTCAAGCATCATAATATTCATAAATATGCCCGGTAGTTTTTGAAGCGCCTAAACCATTTCAGTTAAATTAGTCGTAGAGTCCTAGTTGGTTGAATTGGCTAACTCCAAAAGCAATTGGCCATAAAAAAAGATTTCATTTATTCAAGTCGATCATGATGAATTCATTAACTGTTAAAAAAATTGTTTAGGCAATTTACACCTCGATTGATTGGAAGAGTAAAGAAGATGAAAGTAAACTGATCCATTCACAGATTTCTGATTGACATCGGTTCTTCACTTGACTAGTTCAAACAATTCTAAAAATATAATAATAAACCAGGATTCAATATATTATAAGATATATATGAATATTATCTTTTATTATATGATTATTATATCTGAATATGCTAGAATTTCTTAAAAGGTTCAGTGTTATTTCAATTAAAGTAGGAATAAGTCAAGCTATTGTAAGAATTATTATATATAAGTATAATTATAAATGCTATGATAAATGCAACTTGTTGGGGGTTTATCGATAGAATTAAAACAAAATAATATGCGATGAATTGCAACGTGAGAATCGCATTTAAGCGACTTCAAAGTGTTTACCTCGACAAAGAAGTTGGCCACAAGCTAAAAGCCAACTTTCACAGTCAGTGGGCCAACATAACTGTATCTTTATGAGCTTATCAGAACTGTATCTGAGTCAAGTCTTACATCATTAGTCGCCCCTCTCACACCAAGAAGTTGGCCGATTGCGAGAGGCGCGCGTTTCCTAACTGTAAAGAAGTTGTAAATTACGCTTAAGACTCGACTCACCTCGGCTCGACTCGACTCGGCTCGAAAGTTATTCTGTTCTCTCGCTGTGCGCTTTAACGCCCACAAGTTTTCATTTATCATTTTTGTTTTGTCTTTTTTTTTTTTTTTTTTTTTTTTTTTGTTTTGCTGCTTGTTAAAGCTTTTGGCAGGCGACACGACGTTGGCTTCGAGTACTTTTGTGTAGCCATCTTTGTTGTGACTTCCTTTGCATGTGCATTCCTTTTCATAGCTGCCAACAGCAGAGCAGGGGGTGAGGAAGGTGGTGGGCAACAACAACTGGGGAAACCACAATGAGAAGGTTTTTTATTTTTTTTAGATTTTTTTTTTTTTTTTTGCAAAATACAAAATAAAATGCCATTCCATTTTGCCATCTGTTTTGTTGTCGCAGTCGTCGTCGCCGTTGTTGTTGTTGTTGCTGTTGGCATCGCCACTTTTGCTTTGTTTGCTAAATGCGCTTTTATAAAATTGTGTTTTTCTTGCTGCTACTTCGTTTGGTTTTTTCTTCTCTTTCTTCTTCTTCTCTTCTTTTGTGGGCTTGCCACTTCCCTTTGTGCATTTGCATACATCTGTTGCGACTGTTCCTTTTCGTTATTGCCAACAGGTAGCCAGCCGTCGTCGTCGTCCAGTGCTGCTTAAACTGTTAAGCAGCTATAGTCGCGCGTCGTTTTGAATGACAACTAATTGCATCCGCCCCAACATTCTATCTCTCAGTTTGCTCATTTAATTTTTTTTTCTCTTCTTACCTGTTCCTTTTCGCACATTTGCTTTGTCTCTAGTGTCTGGCTTGGTATTATTCCCCAGCCAGGTGATCATTCAATGTCTTAAGCTCTGGTTTTTGCTCTTTACATATGTATATGCATATGAATGTGCATGTGTGTTTGTATTGGTGTGTATGAGTCACTCTGCACTCTAACAGGTAATGAACTGCGTGGATGTGTGCGTCTGTGTTTATACATATAGACAGTTGCCAGTTATTCAAACAAAGCTGTGTTTAATTAACAATAAGGTAAATGATTTGGTTTTGCTGAACAAAAATGTAGTTTACATTAAGATGCCTTATATAATCTTGGGATTGCTGTTCGATCTTTAGAGCTTGGTGTTTTAATACTGCTGCATAGGAAATATCTACAAATATAGATATATTCAAATGATTCACATTTGCTTACATTATCCAAAAAGTTACCCTAAATAATTTGCAGTCGTAATTAGTTTATTTTAGTTTTACTTTAAGGCACGAGAATGAACAATTCCATTTGCCTTCATGCTATTCAGGGAATTACACATTCCATTTCAGAAATAAGCAAACAAATTTATTGCACTGGCACTTAACAGTATTCTGTTATTCAGCTGTTAATTAACATTGCGTACATTTTGTACGCATTTGAACTTTTGTTAATTGTGTTGGTTCTTGCTTCGTTGTAGCTTACGCTAGGGCATTGCATTATTTATTTTTATTTAATAGCTTTTACGAAATGCTATGAAATTGAGTTTAGTCTAATTATTATAATTGAGCCTCTATTAATTGTGGGAGAATGTATAAATCGTGTTGCTGCTTTTGGGTCAACTTTTGTTTACTTAGTTAATATTGTTGTATCTATTGTTCAAGTAAATGTGTTTTTGTTGTGCTTCTAGATTTAATTTATGTGCGTGTCAGATTGTATGTATATACACACTCACACACACACAGAAAATATAATGCATAATATATTATATGTGGCCTATACTCGTGTATATATTAAGTTAGGTCAGGAGAGCTTTAGCTACGCTTGAATAACAGCACGCTTTTGATGTGAGTTAAGTGGAATATAAAGCCGAAAAGTGGACTCTTTATTGTTTCTATATAATTGCTAAAGAAATTGGTAAACTTTAATGATTGAGGGGTATATATATATAGTAATAATATATGTTAGAATGTGCTTATAATTATTCTACAACTGTTGGTTTAAATTATTTTTAGAATTTTAGTTTTGAAGAAATCTCTATTTACTTTTACTTTTTAAATTTTCAACAGAACATAAAATGCTTTATCTTTTCCATGAAAAATCAAAATTCAATTCTGAAATATATTGCATGAATTGATCAAAAATGCAATTTGTTTCGGTCAAATGCAGGCGGCGCGATATTTACAGATACAAATTATTTTGTTTTTATTATGAATAGCATAAAGTACGAATCAAACAAAATGAAATTGGTAAACAGAAAAATTCATGGAAAGCAAGCGTGGGGCGTGGCAGACCCAGACCAGACCAGACCCCAGACCGTTGGGTGCTGCTCCATATACAAATTTGCTTTGTTGTAATCAAAGTCATGCGGCTTTTCGCACACAAGTATCCACATGGGCGGGTGTGTGTGAGTGAGTGAGTCAGTGAGTGTGTCGTCTGTGTGCGAGTGAGTGCGAGTATGCTAGCTCGCCTGATGACTATAAATGTTGACAATGTTGTGGTGAGCGATAAGCTCTTCCCCTTTTACTTCGTAATCATTCATGACATAATTTCGCACCTAGCGGCCTTTTTCTTTTTATATGTATATTTCATTTTGATTTATGCAATTAACTAAATACAAAAGATAAACGTGTATGCGAGCTAATTAATCAAATCGCTTTATTTCGGAATAAAACCACGCAAACCGCAAAATCAAGCAATTAGTTGCCATTATTTATGAATTTAATATATTTGTGATTTAAATTTGTGCGCCGAAAAAGAACCAGGAACTAGAAGAAATTGTTGTCTACTGTTTAAAATTTTTATGAATCGCTCTTTATATAGTATAAAAATATAGAAACCTTGAAACAGCAAATCTTTTAATACTATAACTCTGTAATCGAAGAGTCATTAAAATTCATTTCACAACTTGGGAAATGAGCGTGAGAGTATATGATCGGTTGGGAACTCGCATTTCATGGGCTGGGAATTAGTTCGATCGTTTATCAATCGCATTTCAAATGGTATTCTCTTAATGGTCAGGTCGACGCATGTGTTGCTTTGGAGCTGCTTCTGGTGGTGGGCGTGGCGCTGATAATGTTACAGGTACGGTGAGCGTCATCTGCATGAATGTTTGTTCCGCCCAGTTGCAGTTGCGCTCTTGAGCATGATGTTATGCGTGTGTGTGTGTCTGCCTTTGTGCGCGAGTCTGTGTGTGTGTGAGTGAGGGAGGCATGTAACGGGTTTTTGACACAGTTTTAAAGAACATTTAATCACTTTTATTGAACAAATTTTTAATAATCGCATCTCTTTCTTTTGCAGGAAAAAATCTTTACAACAATGAACATGTAGCAATAAAAATGGAGCCTATGAAGTCGAAGGCTCCACAACTACACTTAGAGTATAGGTTTTATAAGCTATTAGGATCACATGGTATGTTAAAATGTTTTTATTATATTTATTGAATACACATAATATGCCAACCTCTACTCCGTCCCGTAAAATTGACTAACAAAATAAACCATAAGACAAAAAAAAAAAATCATTTACAAAACATATATTTTTCCATGCCCGTTTGTCGATTTACTGACAAATTGCTAACCCAATCCTACTTACTCCAACTACCACTCCAATAATACTATGTTTTGCACCGTTACCACCTTCGTTAGTCAAAGTAACTCGTAATTTCGATTCTATGCATAACACTTTGAATTTGAAGTGATATTAGAATACACATAAGACTACATGAATAGATTTTCTCAAGCATATTTCGGAGGTCGGTGCGTGAAATAAATTACAAACAAAAAAAAAAAAAAAAATTATTGTGAAAATAATATATAAACAATGAATTTTATTGTATATTTTGGACACAGCTAAGCTGTACAGCCATTATACTCTTCTGATTTTATACCCACCAACTTACTATATGCTGATTTCTCAACTCAACTTTATTAAAAAATTCTTACGTTATTTTTTCGCCCGTTCTTTTTTCGTTGTTCTTACATATGTATATATACGTAAATATACACACACATATATATATATATATATGTATGTAAATTGCTATGTTCCTTCATTCAACCATCAAAAACACCATCCACCAATGAACTCACGCTGTGAAATATGAAATTTGAAACTGATCTCGATCCCGATCACGATTACGATCACGGTCACGGTTACGATATTGAAAAAATCCCGTGTCAAAAATATAATCATCGTGCGATAACCAACCAAACAACCAACACCAAAACAATCGGCTGATTTCTTTTACAAAAAACATTGTGATGGCATGGCACATACCCTGTAAAATAAAAAAAAAAACCAATCCGATGCTCCTTCAGCCGAAAACGCCCCAGAAGGCATACCACGCATTTATCACTTGGGCACTTGCGGTGGCCGTTATAATGCCATGGTTTTAGAGTTATTGGGATTATCATTAGAAGATCTCTTCAATATTTGCTCCCGTAAATTTTCACTTAAGACTGTATTGATGATAGCGAAACAACTTGTAAGTTTATTCAAAATGGAATGCGAACAATTTATACATTTCGTTAATGTTTGAGCGAATTAGCGCGGATTTCACATTTTCGCATTTTCACATGGCCCGAATAATTTTGTTCGATGTAGTACAGTGCGTATAACAGTCTAATTGACTGAGAGAGATACGCTGCGAGTGTGAAGTCCGTCGCCTATTTCACTGAAACTGTTCTACACTGTATTTAATTTCGATTAAACAAAACAACATTTTTAAGCAAGTGTCTCAACGGCTAAATGTTTCATGTTAGCAACTCGTTTTAATTATTATTTCAAATTCTACTGCAAAAGAACACAATGAACGTTAGTGTCAACATTTTAGTTTATGTAGTGGAACTGAACGAACTGAATATGCCTCTGTCGTCGTAGTTTACAAATAATACAGAATTTTTACGTTTTTTTTTTTTTTTTTGTTCCTTATTTCTTGGGTTGTAGCTCATTTAAAATCCAAATTCAAATCAAGTAAAATCACCAATTAAATTATAAAGCATGTAAACTAAGAAACGTTAATAGGTAAAACTACTTACAATGTTCCTATATAAATAATAAAGAACAACTTTCTTTCTTAAAAAAAAAAAAAAAACAAGTATTGCGAAAACAGTTCCAACTATTAACCACAGTTCCTCGTTAGTTGCCTAAGTTAACGATTTTCCCATTTGTTTTTCTCTCTTGATTTCAATTAATGACAAACTTTTTGTATGTGCCTCTATATGATTATACTTATTTTAACCAATTTACTAACACAGCTCCAAGATCAAATAAAAATAAAAAATATACATATATTTTGCTAAAGTGGTAATCCAACAGAAACAAAAAACACCCAATATATAATGGGCTAGAGCCCAGAGCCTACACTGTTATAACTGTTATACACTCAACTCTCTACACCTAAGTTAAGCTTAAAATGTGGCCTATAAATGCAGTTACTATAGCTATAAGTTGAATGCAGGCACTGTGATAACCACGTAACTATATAACTGTTATAACTGTTATAAACGTAGTCTGGAGTTGCTACCCAGAATAATGCAGCAGCAATTTTAAAAATTATTGACAGGGTCGTTTCATAGGCTTCCTCGTTATATGCTTCGAGAATCTCTATTTTTGTTGTTCTTGTTGTTTTTAGCACAGATTTTCGTAAAAAAAAGAACAAAATAAATAAATTTTAAGTAATCAAAAATTCCCAAAGTGATGAAGCAGTAATTTATAAAAGGTGGTAATAAAACGTAGACGCGCTAAACTAACCTTAAAGAGTCATAAATCTCACTGTCGTTCGCTCGCTCGTTCTCCCTTTCACTTTTTCTATCTATCTCTTTGACTTCTCATGTTCTTCCCGGTGCTCCCTCTCTCAAAAAAAAGCTGGAAATAAAAAAATATATATTTAAAATAATTTTTTTGTCCTCACTCTCCTTTTTCTCTCTCTCTCTCTCCCTTTCTCTATATTCTTATATCTGTCGATTTTCTGCATAAAACAACAACAACAACAAATGATCAATCAACGTGCTTCCCCAAAAACTACTGCGATACTTCTGTGCGCTGCCCAACACTGAAAACTAAAAAACAAAAACCACAAAAAAATGTAATTTTAAAAAATCGCATTTTATTCTACACACCCTCCCACCTACACTTTGAAAATTTCCGAAATTTTTGTTGGCCTGTAGCAGAGGGTGTACCAGAAGTATATTACTTCGGCCCATGCGGCAAGTACAATGCTCTTGTTATGGAATTGCTTGGTCCATCACTCGAAGATTTGTTCGATATTTGCGGCAGACGTTTCACTTTGAAGAGCGTACTACTGATAGCTATACAATTAGTAAGTACAACCAATACCACAACTCAAAAAAAAAAAAAAAAAAAAAAAAAAAAAAAAAAAATAAATAAAAAAAAAAACAGCAAAAACCAAAAGATAGCAAAACGTAATTTTTTTTTTATTCGAGCACGCGCATTTCTCAGTACATTTCACATATTCGTTCACGTACACAACACTGGTAGCAGCTAAGCCAACAATTAACCAACACTGGCCACGCAAGCGCAGAACTTCACACACATTTAAATATATAACTATATTTATATATATTACCCGAAAACCCGATCCGACTTTTGTTGATTGCGTGTATGTGTGAGTGTGTCTGTGGCTGTGTCTGTGTGCGTGAGAGAGTGTTTGTAGGGCCTGCTTGGGTGAATTTTTATTAAGTTAATCAATTTTAATTTAACTGCGACATTTATTTGTACTTTAATTTGATTTTGCTAACTAACAACAACAACAACAGCAACAACAAGAAAAGGATGCTTTTTTATTATTGATTTGAATCTTATTCGTCTTCCCACCTGATCTTATCTTTTTACCTCATTTGTAGACAATAACTGGTTAAGGCTTTTTTCGCAAGTAGTTCTTAAGTTCTTAACGTTTCAGTTTAGCATTAATCACAATGCATTCTAATGCCATATACATTTTAATGCCGCTTCTTACCTAGCATATTCTTCAATATTTACAATTTAGTTGTTAACTGCCAACGTTCATTGTAATAAAAAAAACAAAAAATAAATAAAATCAAAAACAATACAAAACAAAACCAATCAGTTCATAATATTAAAAATAAATCAAAATAATAATAAGTAATTGCATGTGCATTTATTATGTAGCTGACATAGAAATATATATATTTTTTATTTTGCATTTGAAGCGCGTTCACATTAATTTTTTAATTTCAAGATATTTAAAAAAATAAAAACGAAATCTTATCAATTCAAGTTATCAAAAACTGTTGCCATCAAAAATAAAACCAACAACAACAAAACTTCAGCTAGTTGAGACACTACAAATCAGATTGACATTAAATATAATTCAATGTTCATTTACACATTTCCTCAGTCTGTCAATGAGTCAAAAAAGAAAAAACAATAAATTCTAAATGCACTTGTCACAATTTGCTCCTTGGCAGACTGAACGTTTTAGAGCTCCACCTATATCCGAGCATATACTAATTGACTTTTGTTTTCTTTCACCAATTACTCAACTAAACACAAACACAGCTCCACCGGATCGAATATGTTCATAGTCGGCACTTAATTTATAGAGATGTAAAACCAGAGAATTTTCTCATTGGCAGAACATCAACAAAACGTGAAAAAATTATACACATAATTGGTAAGTGATATTATATGAACCCAGTGAAATCCAAGTTTTAATCTATTGCTTTTAATTATTTTCAATAGATTTCGGTTTGGCCAAAGAATATATTGATTTAGATACAAACAGACATATACCATATCGGGAGCATAAATCCCTGACGGGCACCGCTCGCTATATGTCGATCAACACGCATATGGGGCGCGAGCAGTCGAGGCGCGACGATCTGGAGGCTCTGGGTCATATGTTTATGTACTTCTTAAGAGGATCACTGCCCTGGCAAGGCCTTAAGGCTGATACACTCAAAGAGAGATATCAAAAAATCGGTGATACAAAACGTGCAACACCTATAGAGGTGAGCGAGAGGACTATTGAATTTCAGCTTCTGAATTCTGTTTATGAGCCACTGACCGATTCAGCAGATCTAAAATAGTACAAAACAACTTTAAAGATATGAATCCATAGAGTAACAGTTATCTGAGAAGAAGAAAATTCTTTACAATTAATGTAAACAGGATTCTAGTGAATTCATTCATCCAGTAAATCATAAATCAAATCAAATATATAAATGTTGCTAAAAGCAGGGAGATAGTAGAAACTATTAGGATATATATATTAAGTTTCTTGAACATACGCAAATGTCCAGAATATCTAGACAGAGTATTGTAGATATTTAATTGTTGAAGTGATATTTAAGATATCCATATATTATATACAAAAATCTGAGATGACTTACCCCTTAGTTCAGAATTCAGAAGCAGCAAATTTACATTACCAAATTATCATTTTAATATATACTAAATACAATTCTATATTATGCAGGTACTTTGTGACGGCCACCCTGAAGAGTTTGCAACATACTTGCGTTATGTGCGGCGGTTAGATTTTTTCGAAACACCCGACTATGATTTTCTGCGAAGACTGTTTCAAGACTTATTCGAACGTAAGGGCTATACCGACGAGGGCGAATTTGACTGGACAGGGAAAACCATGGTGGGTAGCAAGTTGAAATTTATTACCGATTAACAATGATAATCACCGCAAGATCCATATTGAAAATATGTGCATATTTGAAATTGATAATTCACATTTGCCATTTAACAAAATTCATCTGCGAGCCGAATTCTAAACTCATCTAATTTATAGGAGACCTAAGCAAGAATATATCCAGTATCTAACTCTTGAGTAATGCGCCTCCCTCATGTAACTCTAAAATGCTCATTTTAAAATGGGCAACGCATGTTGAAGCCCACCACCCCCCACCTCAGCGGTAGAGAGTATAGAGTTGAAAAATCAGTAATCAATAATAATATTTCGGATAGCATGCAAAACAGCCAAAGATGCCTAAATACGATGCGATATAAAAACAGCAAATGATTGATTATATGATTGAATATGGTGATGGGCCCAGATTGTTCAATTCAATTCAATTTCGATTCTTGTTGCAGCGCGATGTTTATTTCTTTCATTCCGTTTATGAAAATATATTTTTATAAAGCGCCAATTACAAAATTAAATTAAAGAGAGACCAAACCTAACTTCAAGCCGTAAAAAAAAAAATCCCAAAAAAAAAAAAAAAACTAAATTAACCAAACATTTTAAATTGTTTCATTTATTGCTTGCGAGCTTTTCTTATGTTATTTGCAACTAAATTCGATAAAGAGCATTTATTTCTGTGTGTGTTTGAACGTGTTTATGTACTATCATTTCTAAGACCAAGGATCAGCTGGAGCAAATGAAGGTTATTAAAAATGCGCCGCCATCGTATTTGGCCAAGAATAAATCCGATAAGGTATACTCGAATCAGTTCTGTTTATGTGCCGATATTGCCAGTGAATCGATGTTATACTGCCAGTTACTGCCATTATTGTTGCTTGTTCAGTGTTGGTAAACGCTTGTCGCAAGCTCATATTATTTATTGTTAAGCACTAGCGTTAAGGCCTAATTGAACTAACTGTAATTGAAGCCATTCTAACAGCACTCTATTCTTTCTCTCTCTCTCTCTTTCTTCGAAATTCTGTCCTTATGATTGTCAACAACAACGAACACAAATAAACAAATCAACCAAAAAAATAAATAAATATCAATAAAATAATTATGTGTCTGCGTGTATCTGTGTCTAAAATAAATATATTTATATATCTATATATAAATATGAATCGAAAAACTAAATCGACCGCATCCATATATAATATATCATTGACCAATCAACCACGCCCACAGTCAACGCCCGTCGGATCTCTGCAAACTGGCCATGAAGTCATCATTTCACCAAATAAAGATCGTCATAATGTTACGGCTAAGGTAAAGTATTCTAATCTATCACTGACAATTTTCGTGAGAAACTTCTTTGTTATTTAACTTCTTTGTTTCTGTTCATTTTGTTTTTGGCTATAATTCTTCCGGTTATAAGGCAAACAATTTTCTAATTACTAAGTTCAAAATGTTATTAATTTACTCTGACTACTTCAATAGTTCTATATTCGCTTTATTTTTCTCTGTAATTTCAATCAACTCTTCTTACCTAACTGCTCTTTTACTTGGTTTCTGCTTTTCGTTTTCTCGTTTATCTATCTAAACAAAAACAACAAATATCCAATACTTTTTTTCTGATTATTGAACCCGACTTGCTTTAGGACGTCTCGTATTTTGATTTTGATGAAATTGATAATGAAAATGAAGAATGTATAATACTTCAGGTTAGAGTTAGTAGACCTAAAATATATAGTACATGTTTTGTACCGGTTAGCTTTTTAATAATAACTGTACATGAACACGATTGTCATTTCAGTAAGCTAGAAATGGATAGATAAATGTAATTGCTATACTCGAATTATGTATATTTAGATGATGATTTTTAATTTATTAGCTCCTAACTGTGTTAACTACAAATTTGCTGCTTTTCGATTCCATTTGCTCGATCCTCTAAGGTAATTCTAAATTCTAGGCACTGCGTTGTAAAGAGGTTCGGTTAAAGGAAATACATGACTCGTAGTGCTAGATAGCTTAGAAAGCTGATTGCTGCTGTAAAATGTTTAATGACTAACAATATCGAAATTTGGTGAACGGTTCTAACTGCTACATACATATTTAGCTGCTGCTGCACACCCTTTACACACACTCACACACACACATACAACTGCAGGCGTTGGAATTTGATTTTGCTTAAGTGTTATCAACTTGGTTATTATTTGATTTATTATTGTAACAAGTTTAATTCATATGGGCACACACTCGACTTGAGAAATGCTTTGGTTTTTACTTTTGTTGATAGCCACAAACAATTAGCGTCTAGTCTCTCTCTCTCTCTCTCTCTTTGTCTATGTCTTTTGAAAACGATAAAATTAAATTTAATAATTGACAAATTTATGCATTGCTCGCTCGCTCGCCTAAAACCCATAAAACCATCCGACACACTGTAAAACGAAACTCCAACCGATCCGAACCGATCCGATCCGATCCGCTCCGTTCCGATCCGCACTGCTCCTCTACTCCGGTCGATACCAACCACAGACAAATGCCAAAGGAGGTGTTGCTGCGTGGCCGGACGTGCCCAAGCCGGGTGCGACCCTTGGCAATCTGACACCCGCCGATCGGCATGGTTCAGTGCAGGTAAGTCCAGAGTCGCAGACGAAGCCGAGGCTGAAAGCCAGGCGACACTTTTGTTACCACATTTCGTTTTTCTGTATCGTTCAGTTATCAGTTTGGTTTTGTTTTCTGTAAATATATCGAAATTCATGATTCAACTAGAGATCTAACAGATTTGAGCGCTACCCTCCCCATGCCATTTCAATATCATTGGGTATCTTTTCTAGGTTCTACATCTTAAGCACATAAATGTTCTCTGCTCTATTGTTTCCCGCTCGTTGAACTATTGTCTTATATGTGTAACATTAAGCATACGCATCCATTAAACATATCCATATATATCCTTAGATTATTTATATACTTACATTATTTTATGATAATGATAATGATAATGTTAATGACAATGATGATGATGATGATTACAACAACAAACAATATCTATTAATTGAATTACTCGCAGACTGTTATATTTTTGGCCTTTTCAATTCTAATGTTTTCACTTGATTTACTCTACATTAGCTCAACAAGGTACTGAATTCAATATATCCCAAGTGTTTCTATTCTACCTAAGTACAATCGTTCGGTTTGTTTGTTCTCTCGTTCCGTTCCGTTTCCACTAGTTCTTTTTCTCGGACATACTTTTTTGAAATTTGAAATATACTGCGCCGATTATCAAATGGAATGTGCATAGCTTGGTATCTAGTTGAAAGAAAAGTAAAAGTATCGAAAACGATTGCATGTCAAAAATATATGGATAATATGAATGTAGAGAACAATGCAATAGCTCTTGAGAAGATCTCTCTTAAGAATAACTATTTTTTTCGCACCGCATGACGTTAACCAACACTGATCGCATACTGCATGCTCCTCACTATAGAATCCAATCACTGCATGTACTATTCACATAGATATATATCTCTCTTTCTATATATAAAACCATAGTCTGCACAGTTTTTGAGAATTCGGCAATAATTAGATTATCATAATTTCTTACACAGTAAACAATGTTGGTTAAGTTCTTATCAATTTGGAATTTCAATAGGCTTGAATTCAATTTCATAATCAACAAAATACTCTTCCCTTAGATGAGGAAGAAGGAAGGGCATTTTAAAACAGTTTTGGAATTTTATATAAAAGTCAACCAAAATTTTTTACTGTGCACATAATCAGTTCCATTGGCATGCCCATTCGTAAGCAGAGTCAACTGCTTAACAGCCAAACAAGAAGAAGAAGACAAATCAAAACCCCAACTTATTACAGAGATTGCCCGAAGATTCAAGCTCGGACGATGATAGCCCATTTGATGCTTATTATGAGACAAGCGACGGCGACGATGGGCCCAAGAAATAAAACCACTTCTACTTCCACTATCTACCACTATCTGCTATCTACTATCTACTATCTTCTATCTACTACCTACTAGATCCAGCTACAACTCTGTTTGTCCAATAAACTTGCCTACCCCAAAACAAATATATGCTATAAGGTTTTATTTACATGTGTGTTCTAGTGTCAACACTAAGTGCGAGGTATTTTTTCAATGCAATTTATGTGGCCTGTTCTCCAGTTTAAGATGTTAAATGTGCGTCCGACCTGTGTGTGTGTGTGTGTGTGCGCGTTTCTGTCTCTTGTGCAAATACATTTAGTTAGGATCAACCGTAGAACATTTTCGTAGCTGCAAACGTGCTGAATGTGGAAAGGCAATCCCTGTAGAACTGAGCTGTAAAATAAACTCATACGAATTATATACAAATACGCGATAAATGTCATATAACACTATCGAATATGTAGAAATTTGGAATTTTTGTCACATTACAAGATTTAATTTTGTTAAATTTATCTTCTACATTAATTCGGAATTGATTGTAATTTAAATTCGATTTATCATTGTTATATAGAAATAGCCTCATCAGAGTTCCATTGAGGCATATTAAGTAATACTCAGTAATACTCTTGTAGTACCGCTAAATTTCATTATCTGAACATATTACACACCATCTTTGCAAATGATGTTGGGGGGAAGCCCCGCTCCAGAGGCAGCTCGTTTGCAGCTCATCAGACAGACATGCATATAACGCTCATGCGCGAGAAAAGTATCTAAATTTGATCACATTCACTCGGTAGCTGCACAATACTAGCAAAACCTCATCAACTTCCTGATGGGACATTGTTTTTGTTCATTGTGATTTCTGTTTCGTTGGTAGAGAATAAACGATTATGGTTTTCATATATTTTTGACTAGCGCTATAAGCAACAGCAGGGTTTATGATGCGTCCAATATGTATTATCACCAAGTATATTTAATATAAATGCAGACAATACTATGTACCCTCTATGTTTAGTGTTAGAGTGTGAACGTGATTCGGTCGAAACTAATGCAAATAATGCTGTGCAATGCTCTGCATTCTGTTTGTGTCGTTTTTACAGGTTGTGAGTTCGACAAACGGCGAACTGAATGCGGACGATCCCACGGCCGGACACTCTAATACGCCCATCACCCAGCAGCCGGAAGTAGAGCTTGTCGATGAAACAAAGTATGTTGCGAATCAGATGCGATTGCTCTTGGTGAATCGATCGATTGATCGATTGATTGATCGATTTGCCAATGAGTGGATCGATCGAATGAAATGTTTTGGTGTTTTTGCTTTGTCGTTTTAATGCGCATCTCTCTCTTCGGTTCTTTTTTGTAACTGTTTCTAGTGGTTCCTTATATTCCAGATGTTGTTGTTTCTTTAAACGAAAGAAGAAGAAATCAACGCGCCAAAAATGACTAGAAGGTGTACAATGTAGTCCAGAACGCGAGGCAGTCACATTGCTGCGCGCCACTTCACATTCAAACTCACGGGATAGCGTATTGAATAATCCGAGTCAGGATTACATCCAACAGGCAACGTCGCAGCACACGTTGCGTTATCCTCCATCCGCGTCGATGTTGACGCCAACACCAACTACAAATACACCGACACTTCCGTTGTAATTTATATAAATACAGAAACCAGCAAATAGAGAAAAGCAAAAAACAAAACATAAAAAATAAAAAACAAAAAAAAAAAAAAGAGGAGAAGAAGAACATAAACAAAAGCCTAAAAACATTAAACACCACAAACAGAAAAAGAGAAAACTGAAAAAAAAAACAGTAAAAAATTGCAACAAAAAAATACAAACGAAAACAAAACAAAATAAAAAGAAAAACACAATTTTATTATTATTTTTATTATTTACCAATTTTGCGTTTATGTTAATTATATAAATTATTATAATTATTAATTATATTATTAATAAAAACAAAAACAAAGGAGAAACAAAAAGCAAATAATATACATCAAAATTTAATACAACAAAATAACAACAAATACAACACTGTCATATTACATTTCATAATTCAAAGCCAGGCAGCTCAGAGTCGTGCTAAAAGCTGAGAATAAATCCAATCGATCCTAACTTTTAAGAAACACACACACACACACGCATACACAGCAACACATGCATACACACGCCACAGCGTACCACTTAAAACATATTTATATAAATCTATACAGATATATATTTAACAACTAGTGCAGCGTCAAATACAACAACAAAGCATATACATATATAGATACATAAATATTTATAGACAACAAATTGTACATTAAATACGCGTATTTCATTCGAAGAACTATTGAACAAAATGAAAGAAATTATATTTCGTTTGCGCCACAATCACCTACACACACACCCACACAGCTCATACTACACACTCTGCACCCCTGCAGCCCCTCTTAGCGTAGGCAGCTTTTGTTTAGCTCTGATTTTTGATGCACTTTTTATGAATATATATATATACATATATGTATATTGTATATGCTATTGTACATAATTTTTATAATTAATGTCGAAAGTCAAGCATGATATGCGCCGATTAAAGTTTTTGTAGTCGAATTCATTTTGTACAAGATAAGTGCATTTATTTGTTTAGTGTGTGTCTTTAGGTCAATTTTATTTACATACATTTACAAAATTTAGATGAAAGAAACAAAACGAGTTAAAATAATCGCATGCAGTGCAGCTGGAATTCCACACATAAAGCCTTAACCAAAAAAAAATTAATAAATAAAAAGAAACGATAAAAGATAAAAGAAAAGAAAATCTATTAGCACACTATCCTTCTAGGCGGCACTTTGTTTTCCAATAGCTAACAAAAGGTTAAAGCAAATACACGAGAAGAGAAACTAAAAAGTAATTAAAACACTAGAAACTACTCAAGATCAATCACACTTTATAGTTAATGTTAATTGAAAGAAGGGAAAAGATAAACAACAAATATCAAGAGAAAATATAAACAAAGTACTGAGCTATTTATTTTGATATTACGTGATACTAAACTTACATACTTACTACACTAAAAGCTGCCTGCAGCTACGTCTCCCGACCCTATTCATACATACATGAACGAACACAGATCTAAACCTCTTAAATAATATTCATATATGTGTATATATCGGAATATATGTATATGTGTGTGCGAACCAACAGCTAACTACTTTCAACCCATCTGTACGAATTTGTTTTCCTTTCCGATTTGAAAAAAAAAAAGAAACACACACACAACAACTCTATGATATATATATACATATAAATATATATATATATATATATATATATATTTTAAACAAATTTTTTATACTTATAAATATACATACTACGAGAAGAGGAGGAGGAGTTTAGATGCAAATAGTGTTGACTTTACAACAAGACAAACAAATGAAGCGAAGAATGCAACTTAACTTTAAATGTGTTTTTGCTATTATATTCAAACATGGGTAAACAAAAATCAAATTTCAAAACATTGCATGATACATAAATCATAAAAAATAAATAAAATAAAATAAAAAATCATATATAAAACTTACCAAATTTCTTGTATAGTTAAATGAAAATCATTTGTATTATATATGAAATCTAAACGTAAAAAACAAAACAAAAGAAAATTATGCTAAACAATAATAAGAAAGCGATAATTATATGAACAGTCAAGTATAAAAAATTATAAATACAAAATAATGTACTTTAATGTTGATAAAGAAAACAAAAAGAATATACACCACAACAAATTAAGCGCATGCATTGATTAAATATATATATACAATATATATGTATATATATTTACCAAATTGAAAGCAAAACAGAGAACAAACAAGTCGGCATTCAGAACAGTTTTTGAAATATACAGACACTGAACGGAGATCGAGCAGTGGAGCTGGAGGAAGCGTAGGAGTGCGGGGGAGTTGAACCGGTTGGCGCAAGCAATGCACGCAGAGCCTTTCGCTAAATGCAGGATAAGTAGTTGACATTGTTAACTCTGGCAAGCAGTTTTAAACAAATTTAACATTAAATTAAATGCATAAAGCGAGCGACAAAAACAAAAAACAAAAACAATTAAAAAATATTTAAGAAGTCATTTACAGCTGAAAATGTTTTAAGCGCCATTTCAGTTGAAAAGTGAAAGCAAGTATGTAAAAGATAAATATTGTATAAAAATGATTTATTATTAATTATAAGTAACAAAACATACAAGATTTAAGCAAAAGAAAGAAACCCCCTAAGAAACAAACGGAAAAAAACAGAAAAAACAAGCTAAAAATGAAAACAAAATAAAAGAAAATTATTAAAAAAATAAATGTGTCGTGATTTATATATATATATTCCACTATCTGGAAACACATATTATGTAAGGAGGAATTTTTGAAAGGGTATCTGATATGATAATAACATCTGCTTAGAGGACAAGAATCAATCCATTCATAAGTCAATTGATGGACTAATACTAAGGCTGCCAATATTTTGTTTCTGCACAAGAAGCACAACATAAACCATAAAATGAAGATCTTCAAGTTAAGAATATCAAATATTTGTTAATGCAAATTGTTTTTCCAGTAATTTTCTAAATAACCAGATAGACCGTCCATATCGGATTATTCTTTGCAGAACGCGTTTATTATAATAAATTTGATCATGTGCTCTCCGATGGATTCTCTCTACCGTTAGTGAAACCCTTATTTTCTGGTCATCTGTGGAAAATCAGAAATGATCTGATGTAAAATATTGATGACCTGGATTATATCCCACATTGTGTAATTGCTTAACAATCCTTTCTATTATTCTTCCACTCTCTACTTCTCTTTCTTCTCTCTATTAAAAATAAAATTTAGAAGCTAATTTCCGAGACGTAATTTTTTATGCACAAAAAAAAAAAAAAAAATTAAATATATTTTACGCAGTTGACTTGGCTAACTATTGCTCAGTAGTTGGATTTTCCGTGCTGTCGCAGTGTGATTTTTGTTTTGCTAGACCAATAAATTTGATTTGAATAGGTAATTACTAATCCCTTTTATTTTTATTGTTGTCAACTGAGTAATCTATATATATATATATGTATATATTAGAGTTTCTATTATCTCAGTTTCTATCTCTCGCTAACCTGTCAACATGAACTGATGAAGTACAAGAACAGATATCAGAAATACATATACACATACACATACACATATAGTTAGGTCAATAAATTATATTATATATGACATATGATGATGAAATGATTCTGACAGGTAATATTTTGTACAGACATAATAGTGTCAGCCATGTAGATATTTAGTATAGATTTTGTATGCAAATATTGAGAAATATAACTAAACTTGGATAAATATAACTAAAAATGTGCATAGAATATATAATAACATCTTTGCCATAAGTAGGAAATTTATTGCATTTATCTAATAGCTGTATTTATAAATGTCAAACCTGGGGCAGTTTTGTCGAAACAGCTATGCAAGTGCAGATTGCGATAGTGGGCTTAATTATTAAAAATATCAATTTAACTGTAGCTAATCGGTCGCGATCGAGCGCATGACTAACACGTTGCTTTGTTTTCTAAGTGAATATATTTAATTAATAATTATTTCACTTACACGATTTTCCGGCAGCGTGATCACATTGCTCGAGCGAATTCATTTACAGCAATTGCTAATTACATTGGTAACTGTTTTTGCACTTGACTACGTAAACTGTGCAAATTTAGCCAAGACAAACACCAAAAGCTTTTCGTGGCTCGCCCCAAAAAGCTTTTGCTTTGATTGGCCAAGCGGGCAGCCGCCTGAGCAGCAATTGTTCAAGAATTAACGTGGAGCAAATCAATTGCATCCTAACAAAAGCTAGCTAAAGGTCAGGCATCTCTGTCGCACTCTCTGGCGATGCGAAAAGTGAAGGGATTCCAATGAACACATTTGCTAAGCTAATATTTATTACGTATGCTTGCGTGTGTGAGTGTGTGCATGTCTGATGTGTGAGTGTGAGCTATTCGTATTATGCTTAGCCCAAAGCAAATTGAAGTCGTTCAACAGGTGAACGTTCGAGTAGGCAGAAGAGAGCAAGTCAGAGCTTTAAGAGTATCGCCGCTATTGACGCTTACTTAATTTGCTGCTCACGTAGCGTCGAGTCGAGTCGAGTCGAGAGTATTTAGCTGGCGTATGTTGCAGGTGGGCAGGCAGAGCAGAGCAAATAACTGCAAGATAGACAGCGGCAGCTAACTAACTGCCAGCAGCAACAGCTCCAGCCAGACTCGGTTTCAGCCAACGCCAATCAGTCTGTGAGATTGCTCCGAGTGTTCAAGACTTGTGTGGCGGCAAAACCAAATATCTCAATACCAAAAGCAAAAAAATCGAAAAGAGCATAAAGTAAAGCACTTAATAAGTCGAAAATAAAATAAAACGGCGAGCGTCGAATCCCGTTTCTGTGTGTGAGCAAGAAAACCTTTTGAATAAGAAAAGTTAAAAAGTGAAAATCGTTGACATTCAAAGCAGACATTGCAGCTGGACTCCCAATGCAGCACTCGCTGTCCGAGCAACAATAACATTTTGGCAATTGTAGGCCAAAGACAAAGAAGAGAGAGAGAGAGAGAGAGAGAGAGAGAGAGCGAGAGCGAGAGCGAGAGACCGAGAAAAGGAATATTTACGGATCTGCT